TACCTCCTCTCTAGCACTGTCCCCCCCGCAGTAATTGATTTCCACCACTAGATGTCCTCGGTCTTCTAGGTTGAATGACAACCAATGCCATTCAACCTGGAACACTGAGGACATACTGTGAGGGCAGGGAGTCGTGGACCGTGCACTCGCATACAATTATGCAGAGAGAGGTGTATTGTATCACTGTATGTGTATATAAAAGTAACCCCATCAAATACAGCGGTTGGGGGGGACTGGGACTTGGATTCATGGCTACAGTTCTGGTGACTGGTATCTGGTGACACAGTAAAGTCTGTTTCCGTCAGGTCAAGGTATACACCATTCATATATGGGTTGCCCTGTGCAAGTTCTTCTTTGTGAATGAACAGTGTGGCAGGAAGCAGCAGGTTACATATCTGGAATAAGTATCTGATTGGCTATGCTTCATACATACAGAAAACACACAACTTACCATCTACCTACCTATTAAAGCTACATATTTGATCTATATATTTTAGTGTTGATAATGTAGTCCACTTGTGGTCTTATTCTGCATATTTAACTGTATACTGCAAAACACGGAAAGTGTATGAACTACTAGGTCACTGGTTTATGAGACTTTGACCTAACCCCCTGGGTCCCATATGCACTGACTGTACAAAGATCATGGCTAAGCACTATTAACTGTCCACAATAACATGATCCCTTTAGAAGTCTTAAAAAATCCCAACTCATTCTGGGAACAAACACTGTTTATAAGGTCTTCCTGCCTCTGTAGTTACTCCTTTTCCACATGCCATGCCTTAGCAGTCAGGAACCAGAGAACAACCATGTAGAGGACAAAGGGTCACCACATATGTTAGCTGTGCTGCCAAGCAATCTGATGTAGGGAGGGCCGGGCCGAGGGGTAGAGAGACGAGGCTACCCCATGGGGGCTTTAGCAAAATGGGGTACAAAGAGGGCAGGAACTCCATTCTACGCTGATTTATTAGTGTACAACTTATGGGAAGCGAGGGCACAGATGCAAAGCTGTCCCGGACCTTAGATAGCTCCATTCCAGTTCAGTGGTTACATTTTGTAATTCAAAATCTCCTTAAAAAAAAGTCCAGAATTTGAATCATATTGACGTTCTTCTTAACCGTTCAGCACCATTAAAGGCAGAACTCCAGACAAACAGCTAAATAAACATTTGTGCTCTTTTTAATGGATTTATAATTCAGATCAGTAATACGGTTACAGTATTCAGTTACCTCTCTCACACTGAACAATCACGGTGACACCCCTGTTTTCCATGCTCACCTTTGCAGCTTCTAGTGTCTCTGCGCCTCCAGCTTGCTCATTGGATCGTGAGTTCGCATTATCACCTTGTGTTCAATGAGCAGCAGGAAAAAGGAAATACTAGGAGACTGTACAGAGTGGTAGAGGTGTGTGAATTACAGGAGAAACTGAACAGAATTACAAATCCGTTGGCATGTAAAACGGTTACACACATACATACACATACATATAGCTATTTCAACTCTTCGCTGTTTGTCTGTGGCTCTGCTTTAAAAAACAAAAATGCATCTGAATAGCAGGATTACAAAATAAGGATTGGACCTAAAGGAGCCTAAAATAAGGATCGGACCTAAGGATCCTAAAATAAGGATCGGACCTAAGGATCCTAAAATAAGGATCGGACCTAAGGAGCCTAAAATAAGGATCGGACCTAAGGAGCCTAGAATAAGGATAGGACCTAAGGATCCTAGAATAAGGATAGGACCTAAGGAGCCTAGAATAAGGATCGGACCTAAGGAGCCTAAAATAAGGATCGGACCTAAGGAGCCTAAAATAAGGATCGGACCTAAGGAGCCTAAAATAAGGATCGGACCTAAGGAGCCTAAAATAAGGATCGGACCTAAGGAGCCTAAAATAAGGATCGGACCTAAGGAGCCTAAAATAAGGATCGGACCTAAGGATCCTTGAATAAGGATAGGACCTAAGGAGCCTAGAATAAGGATCGGACCTAAGGAGCCTAGAATAAGGCTAGGACCTAAGGAGCCTAAAATAAGGATCGGACCTAAGGATCCTAAAATAAGGATCGGACCTAAGGAGCCTAGAATAAGGATCGGACCTAAGGAGCCTAAAATAAGGATCGGACCTAAGGAGCCTAAAATAAGGATCGGTCCTAAGGATCCTAAAATAAGGATCGGACCTAAGGATCCTTGAATAAGGATAGGACCTAAGGAGCCTAGAATAAGGATCGGACCTAAGGAGCCTAAAATAAGGATCGGACCTAAGGAGCCTAAAATAAGGATCGGACCTAAGGAGCCTAAAATAAGGATCGGACCTAAGGAGCCTAAAATAAGGATCGGACCTAAGGAGCCTAAAATAAGGATTAGGTGAATCTATTCTAAAATAAATCTGGCCAAGTTCTTACCTAGTTCACTTGCAACAAGGAGCAGATAGTACAAATTAGCAGCCCTGTGGGACCTGCATGGAAGCAAAGCAGGGAAACACCAGTTGCATGGCTGTAAGGTTTGTGTTCCTGGTTCAGACTTGCTAAGGACATGGAGTAATTACACACAGGAAGAGAAACTCAAATGTCTACCCACATAACTGGCAAGCAGAGGCCCTGCAATATCCTGTACGCCCCAGCGGTAGGCAAACTCCAGCCCTCCAGCTGTGGTAAAATAACAAATCCCATCATGCATCTGCTTCTGGGAGTCATCCCTGAGGGTGTCAAGAGTCTTGCAATGCCTCATGGGATTTGTAGTTGCTGGAGCTGGGGGGCCGCAGATTGCCTACCCCTGCTATACACAAAGTGTCTATTCCATAAAGCAGTGCAAACAGCAGTGATGATCTGCAAAGCGCTGTGACCACATAGCAACCAACCAGATTTTAGTGTTGTCAGGTCGGTGAAAGATCAGTTCTGATCAGTGTACTTTGGATTACTGAACACTGTTCTTTGCCTTTGTTAGGTAAGCCCAAAAGGTTTCATATTTTCCAAAACTATCGAGGGACAGATGACATGTCCAATCCAGATAAAAGACAGTGCTAAATGAAGCTCTGTATCCTGATAATGTGTCTATGGACAATGGTAAACGGATGATCTGTCCGCGGACAAACCGCTGGCAACACACACCTGTCATCACACAGGAAATGCACGAAAGTCGCCTCCAGCCTAACGGATTCCAGTTGTTCCCTGACTAGAGTCAAAGTCTGCTCATTTTTCCAGTGTTAAGTCCCAGGTAACAAACAGGGGCGTCCTGCATCCTTCCAAGTGCTTTCAGAGAATCACATCTGAATACAGCAGATGGTCTGGTCCAAAGCAATGTTCTGGACTCCTCTCTGTTCTCAAGGTTCCGTGTTGTGCATTGTTATCAAATAAATTACCTGAGCACTCTAAGGCTGATGAGATGCTTATGGGGGTCACCTTGGAGCCAGAGACATTGTAGTCATAGTCACTAGTCCACCTAGGTGGTGGAAGGGTGCAGAGAGATGAAGACCTTGAGGAAGTTCTGGGAGAGGTGTTGGTCAGTAGTTTTTCTCCAGGGTTCCTGGTACAATACTGATCAGGAGGCTAACGTGCCACATCCGTCTTCTTCCTCCCCTCAGATTCGGTCAGTCTTTGGTGGTCTGTGTCAAAGGATAGGACGGGTCCTTCTGTTTACTGTTCATCTCATGCGATTCTGTCTCATCAGCGGAACAATGCATGATGGAGGACCTGCCTTGGTCAAGAAGGGATGCTTCAGAAGCTCATTAGCACTGGCTCGCTGGCTAGGCTCTCTCACTAGAAGCCGGTCAAGAAAGCCCTTAAGTAAGGGAGATACCTGAAGAACCAAAACACACACAGACATTTATTTTGCTCATGTAACAATGCAAGTTAACATTATCAGAGGAAATTAAAGTGGCTCAGCAGACAGCTGTGTATTTTCCCTCACAGTTCAAAGACCACTATGGCATTATACTGAATTATCTTTCTAAGGTTCCCTTTGGCCACTTCAGTTTTTTCACACAGCACAAACACATACTGGTAGCTTACATAGACCAAGTCAAATATTCATGTAAAAGCAAAAGGAAAAATCAAGTTTTTTACAGCCAAGTGTATTGTAATACCTTCTCTTATCCCCCCACATTTCTGATTGACATGCTATTAAAAATCAGCATTTCTTGATAGCACTGAAGGCTTGCCCACCCCTATCTGCCTCCTACAAATTCCTATTGGCCACTGTGGCAGCCCACAATAGTAGTGAGCCAACAGGAAAATGTGGGGAGCAGATACTAGCGGCAAGCTCTGACACTGACCAGAAGTGTTGGATCTTTGCTAATTGGAGCGACACGGCATCTGGGCTTAAAGTGACATTAAAGTCGTTCCCCCCCCAATGTTAGTGTAAGCACTTACCTTAAATGATGTCTATTAATCCGATCTTCTTCTTTACTGTCCTTTTCAGATGTCCTTCCAGCGCTGGTGCGGGTCTCTGATCCAGCACTGACTCCTCTGTCCTCCTCTTCTCTCATGTCCTATGGAGTCTGTGTGGGTGCACGCTGTTCCATAGACTTACCTTGTGTCTCTCTTCGTCTCCCGGCTGAACATCTGAACTGCACATGCGTCCGCCCCAAGATCCTTTGCGGCCGGCCGAGAAATGTTCAGATGTTTGGACGGGAGCGCGCGGCGGAGACACGGGTATTAACCCTTTGAAACGTTTTTTTATTTTTATTGTTTTGCATATATCTACTGCTTGCTAGCAGTAGATATATGCAAAAACATGCGAGGGTTTAATAACCCTTTGTAAGTTGAATATTATAGGCTTCTGCAGGTATGTACAGGCACCATTAGGCGGCGGCATTTTATACCTGCAGTATTTTTATTTATTTTTTAATTAACAACAGGGTCTCTTTAGTTGGTTTCTCACTAACTGTTCTTTCTCAATGCGTTTTGTACATGCTTTGGAACACTACAATGAAGGCATGTGTCCAAAAGATACTATTATAGACTTAGGCAATACATCATTTTTGTCACAAATAACCATGGGTACAAAAATGAATTGAGGTCTATGTGTATGTACACTATGAGTGCATACAGATGCAGTGCTATACTTGTAAACAAGAACAACCCTCCTGATGAGACCTTGTTAGACCAGTTTTTTTTTTAATCTCTGCAATGGCAGCTGACTAAAGTTTGAAGTGATAAAAAATGAAACAGCCACTGTAACCATGATATCCAGGGCTTTACAAAGAATGTAACAGAATACTGCTGAGCTGTGGTGTGTTCTGCTCACAACCCATGACTAACATCTACAGCATTTCAACACTTGTGTTTGAGGGCCCCTCCTGTCCTATAAAGCACACTGCTCAGACCTGTCATATTGGTTCAGGAATGCGTTGCCATGATCTATATTGCCGTCACCACATCATCCACATATTCTGCATATATGAGTACTTTGTTATCTGAGCTGTAAAAACTACCTAAATATTCAGGGAGGATAATGGAAAAAACAAAAACACTTCAGGAGAGATCCATTATGTGTAGTAAATATGCAAAGTGATTACAAATGAAATGAAATCAGTTAGGGATGCACTGATACCGGGTTTTCAGTACCGAGTGCAAGTACCGATACTTTCCTTTTGGTAATCGCCAATAAAGAGTACCGATACCGCTGCTTCCGTGGGCATGGAGCCGGCATCCCGGGCAATCAGGAAGCTGGGCGGTGGGTAATGACATACCGCTCGGCTTCCTGATTGCCTGGGAAGTTGGCTCCATGTTGTTTGGCTGGCTTGATTGTGATTGGCCGGGAAACGGGCTTCCCGGCCAAGCAGCATAGAGCCGGCTGTTCGGCCAATCAGCATAGAGCCGGCTGTTCGGCCAATCAGCATAGAGCCGGCTGTTCGGCCAATCAGCATAGAGCCGGGTCAATACTAACCGCCCAGCTTCCTGATCGCACGGGAAGCTGCCTCCATGTTCCCCTACGGCACTGCCGGTCAGAGGAAATCTTCCTCTGACCGGAAGTTCCGGTATCGGGGAAAGTATAGGAGCATTTGGGCGAGTACGAGTACTGGCCCAAATACTTCAAATACTTGGTATCGGCACTGATACCGTTACTAGTATCGGTACATCCCTAATATCAGTGAGTTATTTTAGATTGTGTGCTCACACCTGTAGTGTTGCAAGAGACCTAAAGGGGATCGAGCAATATGAGTAAGGCGTGAGAAAAAATAACCAGTGTGGCCGCGGTCAATGCTCCTCGGGGTGATGTGAAAAATCCTACATTGTGTGTTTATTGGAACCTGGTAGGGAGTATGGGAGATTTGTTCCGAAAAAAACACCAAAAGATGGGGTCAGCAGAGGTACCCCAATGAGAAACAAGAACTTATTTATTGGTCACAGAAGCATTAGGAAAACATGAAGAATTAATTCTTCAAGCATTTTGTTTCTTATTTGAGAGCCTCTGCTGACCTCATCCTGTTCCTCTTATCTGCACACGGTTACTAAGATCATGAAGCCAACCGTGATGGTGCTTTTCCCTGCTGGAGACGTGAGACTTCTCACACAGACTCCGAACTGGGGGGAAAAAAGATCACGGAGGAATGATCACTGGAGTCTCTGGGAGATATAAGGAGTCAGTGTTGATCGAGCCTTTTATAAATCAGAGCAAAACTGAAATATCACCTTTGAGCGGATTGACTAAACACTGATATTTGACACAGTCACTCCTGTCAGGGGGACGTAAGCGGTCAATGGTCTCACCTTTTGCACATTCTTCAGTTTAGGTGGTACATTGTCCCTGATCATCTTCATTGCCTTTAGCGGAGGTTCATTAAAATACGGAGGTTCTCCATCCACCATCTCTATCACCATGATACCCAGAGACCAGATATCCACCTGTGGAAGACGATGATGACCGTCACAACCCGACATGAAGCTTCTTCAAAATACAATCCACAACAACGAGGAAGAGAGCTTAGCCTCACCTCTGGCCCATAGGGTAACCGTGAGATGAGCTCTGGGGCCATCCAATAGGGCGTTCCCACCAAGGATTTTCGACGTGGAACCTCCTTGTTGACCTGGGCGCAGAAACCAAAATCGGAGAGCTTCACCTGCAAACAGTAAAAAGAATAGTAAAGCACATTAAAAAAAAAAAAAAACATAAAAAGCGAACGATAAACATATTATTAAAAGCACATTACACTGCTAGACACAGTTGTGCTAAGACAATCAAACATGATCTTTTTGGCAATGACAACCAAATTACAATAATGCGGACACTATAAGAGCCGACTTACTAAAGACAATGGGGGGAATTTATCAAAACTGGAGCAGACAAAATCTGGAGCAGTTGTCCATGGCAACCAATCAGCTTCTTTCTTCAGTTTGTTCAGTTAAGATTTGAAAATGCGAGAGAGAAGCTGATTGGTTGCCATGGGTAACTGCTCCAGATTATGTCGCTGGGCAAACTGACAGTGTTAAACAAGTCCTGATTATTAATAATAATAATAATCACGTGAAAAACGAATTCTTGTTTATTTCATCTGCACATGAATGGATTATTTAAGTGAATCTCCTGCTTTGGGAAATCAGTTCTCCTAAGGGTAACGGGAGGACACAAGCTAGTGTCCTCCTGTCACCCAAAGCTCAGTATACCGCGAGCTACATTTCGCGGTATACTGAGGCGCCGCAGCCGGGACTGATCCCGACAATTATGTCTGGATCCACCCAGCTGCGTGATTTACAGCTGGCTCTGCCTATCCAGAGGCAGAGCCAGCTGTGCCCGTCCCCTCCCCATCCGTTCCACCAGTCAGCCCTGGAGGATCGGACAGGGGAGGGGGGGGGGGAGGAATCCCTGCAGGGAGCCATGAGTGACAGTCACTGCTCTCTGCAGGGATAGATAGAGAAGTGAACCAGCACCGGTATGTGTTCGCTCACTTCCCGATCTACTAAACCGACCTGTGATAGTTTCATTGTCACAGGTCGGCTCAGATTATGAGGCTGAGTGAAAATCACTCGCCTCATAGTTCTCCCTTAAATAAAAATTGACCAACAACATAGCCTGGGAATGTTTCTTTTCTGGTAATGACACTTGCTCTCCACAAGGCATTGTAACTTTACAGCACTATCATTACTGTGCCCATTTAGGAAATCTGCCCTTACAGTTTTCTCTTATTCCCCCCGCAATGTCCCACAAATGCTTGTTGATCCTGCCTGTGAAGTCCAACTAATGTGGCTTCCTGTGGTAGGGTGGATTTGGGACCTGTTTCGACTGTCACACGGAAGCTATTAGATGTATTTAAATAAAAAGGATACTAAAGAGCTGAATAAAAAAAAATATAATGATTTTAAAAATGTTTTTCTTTTTTTAATATTGCATATTCATTTTATGTAGTCTATTATCTAGCCAGCAGGTGGCGCTCTAGGCTCTTTATTATTAATCTCTCCACTTACAAGATGATCATTTCTCTCCAGGGGTGACCACTGCTCTAATCAACAGTACTCTGGCTCCCTGAGTGTTCAAGGTGATATGCTGGACTTCTGGAGTACTGGGCCACTTCACTGTGTGAGAGCAATGGTCTGACTTTCCTATGTGCGGGCAATGCAGAGTATTTTAACCCTTGCTGTAACTTTCAGCAATGTAAAATCAGTCAAAGAGGCACATATTTATTACTGTATATGCAGCCTGGCTACATTACAGTAATACATGAGAGTTCAATTGGGCTTTAGTAGTCTTCACTTATTTGCCATTTTAACATTACAAAAGAAATTCAGGGCTCGTTCACACCATTAGCAGTGACTGGCGTTTTTCAGCAACTGATGAACGCCACTCACCGCTTTGGGCACATAGGAAACATTTTTTTATGTGCCTCGTTCACACCACAATGAGGGTGTTATGTGGAATGGGAAAAAAAATGCAAACATGCTGCATTTTATTGCAGACCACTATGTGGCACCACAAGTCACCGCAGCACAGCACAACACAGCACGCTGCTGTGTGGTGACCTGTAAAGTTATATACAAAAAAAAAAAAAAAAGAAAATAAACCATGTGATGAGTTGAAGCAGCGCATCCCACCTCCCAGACCTCACACAGCACACTAGTCTGCACGCTGACGCACTGGTTTAGCGTGCGGGCTAGTATGAAGGAGCCCAACATTTTTCTTTTTGTAAAAACACAGTTAAGATTTCAGTCATGTATTTACAGATATCTTTTATTTCAACAGAACATTAAACAAGAAAATAAAAATGCTTTGGCTGGTGTTCCAACTAAAACACCCGATTAATCCCCCTGTGCACCCATCATACACGGACAGCACCTTACCCGTCCATCGTGGGTCAGCAGAATGGAATCACTTTTAATGTCCCGATGGATTACTCCTTGGGCATGAAGTACGGACAAAGCCTTCAGTACGGCCACACAGACGGTGGCTATCTGCTCTTCAATCATCCTGAAATCAAAGAGAGTCCATCAATAACTGGTTCTCCAAAGGAAGATCTGCCCACACAGCTGTGTCATCAATTCAATGGGAAGGTGGCCATACACCTGCCGAATATCGTACGATAATCGCGGGAAATCCCGCGACCGTATGATAATCGGCAGGTGTATGGAAGGTGGTCGCACTACTACTACTACTACTGTACGGTCGCACGTCTTTTGTCTTACGAGCACGTTGGAAAACCATCCAAAAATCGTAAGATTTTCGGCGTGCTCGTAAGACAAATGCCGCAAGCGCACACTGCCCGCTCAGCATTGCAGTCATCGGAAGCCCTCCCCTCAGTGGGGAGGGCTTGCGACGATCGCAAGTACGATCTGCCTGTCCAAGATGGGCAGATCGTACGAGCTTTTAATTACCTTACAACCATCGCACAACGAAAGTCGTGCAATGGTTGTAAAGTGTATGGCCAGCTTTAGTCCCATATAACAGCGCTGCAGAGGGACTCACAAATCACGTGGGCACAAATGAAGTGACATTACCGCACTTGTAGTACATTGTATATTTCCTCCAGCCCCATAACAGAAGGTCCGTGCCTCTTTACAGACCTGGGCCTGGGGGTAAGCAGTACAGGAGCCTGTGTACCGCACCCACATGGCACTGATTGGGGTTGCAATGCTCTGCTCATTGTTTAGGTTATTAATGTGAGTGCACTTATTAAATGTTTGCATAAGGAGGACTATGTCCTATAGCTTACCACACACATTACAACCTGACTGTAAAAGGTCCTTTAGTTCTACCAACAACTACAGTATGTTATGCAAGGGCCTGCCTACGTTTATAGAAGTTGATTGGATAGTTTCAGTAGGTCCTAATGTTACATCATTTTGGTAAAAGAGGGCCAATCCATGACTAGATTTCATGCTTTCTTAAAGATGAATACAGCAGTTTATTAAGAGAGCCACATCTTTTAACATTAGATGAGGTTTGGATGTTTGATTTGTGGGTTTTCATTAGGAGGTGCACCGAAATAAAAATGTCAATACCGAAACTAAAATGTAAAAAAATGTCAGGCCGAAACCAAAAATGTTTTTCATTCTAACTTTTTTAACACATTTTATTTTTTTATAAACTTTTTAATATTTTACTTTACTTTTAGGGGCTTCGGGGGAAATATGAGGGATAAACAGAACCCCGATATTTCCCTTTTAAAATAGAAAAAGCGATTGAGGACACATAGTCCTCAATCTCTTTTTCTGCAGCCCCTGTTATCAATGAACAGGAATGAGTGTTCCTGTTCATTGATAACATGAGGATATGGTATGCTTGCTATAATCACAACTATGAATGAATGAACAGGAGGTGATGTAGATCACTTCCCATTCATTCATAATTGAGGATATAGTAAACATACCATGTCCTCAATTATGTACAAACACTCAGCGATCACTGATCACTGACTGCTTGTACCTCGCTCTCCTTGCTGAGACACAGTTACAGGAGGCCGAGTGAGCGGTGCGGGGAGGAGAGCTCGATCTGACAGCTGACTCCTTCCCGCACTGCCGGCCTCCTGTGACAGCGCTGGCTGTCTCCGCCCACACGCTGCTCTGCCGATCTAGGACAGGAGGTCGGCCGCAGCACAGCGCTCGGCCGCCTGTGACAGTTTCTCTCCTCCCCGCTGGGACACGGAGCAGCGCCCAGTGGGGAGGAGAGAATAAGATGCACCGCTATATTGGCGAGAAAATGGCGCTTTCGTCATGGCATTTCGGCGGCCGATATATCAGTGCATTCATAGTTTTCATTTTAGCCCACACTTTCATTCTAAAAAGAACTACGTAAAAAAGGGATCCTTAGAATCAAGTTGCAAATGGTTGCCTTTACACCTGCAGGAGAGAAGGGGCAGGATGCCTTTACACCTGCAGGAGAGAAGTGGCAGGATGCCTTTACACCTGCAGGAGAGAAGTGGCAGGGTGCCTTTACACCTGCAGGAGAGAAGGGGCAGGGTGCCTTTACACCTGCAGGAGAGAAGGGGCAGGGAGCCTTTAAATTGCCAGCGGCTATGATTTTCTAAAACCTCCAAAACACATTCGCATTGCTTCCTTGTAACTGTCATCCTGGGGCATGGTGTACACTGTGTATATAATATCCCCATCACCCAATCTGGAGCTTGAAACCAAAATATAGATGTTTATTTCCTTGACAAGAAGAGATGAAGTTATCATCTCAACTGAGACTAAACCCACCGGCAGGGCTGGATTTGGTGGCTGTAATAGCTTTCTTTCAGGGCTCGTTTACAACAGCCTGCACTGATCCATTTTAGCATGTGGGCTGGTGTGTGCCGGCTGTGCCTTGAATTCTTACAATGCAAGGCGCTGTTTAGCTTCTTTTTATTTTGTCACCTGTCATAAATTTCTATGTACCATAGCAGAGTAACAAAGGGACGGACACTTGGCCAATCACAGTGATCACAGATGTTAACGCTAACAGTGTTTACATTTGACAGCCCTTCCCTTCCTCTGACAATGGCGGAAGGAGAATCTACTGAATGAAGGATCATTCGATGTCAGATCATAGGCAGCAGCAGTAGATTGAAGGGGGGGGGGTCATTTTGCATTGTGAGATCCTTTTTTCTTTTTTTTAAACGATCCCACAATGGAGTCCTGAGTTCATTGCACACCAAGAACACCGTCTTCATAGAATTTTATGTTCTCCCGTGTATGCAGGTCTTCTCTCACAATCCCAAAAATTTACAGTTTAGTTACAGCTAAATGATTCGGCCCTTTTGTGTCTGTATGGGTTGCACAGGGTCCCTTCTTCAGGCCCCAAAACTTTGGCTTACAAGAGAACTATGGGGTAACCTTTTTATCCCATAGTTCTCCTAAGGGTCACGGGAGGACATATGCTAACCTCCTCCCCGTGACCCAAAGCTCAGTATATAGCAAGTTACAGCTAGCTATATACTGAGAGGGCCGCAGCCGGGACAGATCCAAACAATGCTGTCGAGATCCACCCAGCTGCGTAAGTGACAGCGGCTTCTGACTATCTAGAGGATAGATAGTCAGCGCTGGAGGATCGGAGCGGGGAAGGGGAATCCCTGCGGGGAGTGGTGACTGACAATCACCGCTCTTTGCAGGGAGCTAACCGAGAAGTGAGCGAGCGACGGTATGTGCTCGCTCACTTCCCGATCTATAGAGCCGACCTGTGACAGTTTCATTGTCACATGTCGGCTCTAACTATGAGGCTGAGTGGAAATCACTCACCTCATAGTTCTCCTTTAATGACGCATGTGATGTATCAATAAAAGTGCTTATGCTTCTTGCACAATATCGAGTGCTGGTGACTTCCATCATTGACTGTACCTTGACATGATGCCATCCGTGTTGTCACTAAGAGCACCAACATCTATATTTGAAGGTCTGTATGCTGTATGGAGTGCAGGTGATTCTATGACCCAGTATAATTGTATACATCACAAACCCAGAGGCCACTAGAGCAGGGTTGGAGGCACTATAAAGTCAAGGAGCGATGCCAGCACCGTCCTACTACTCTGCATAATTTTAGTTATACTTTAGTAACTTTGTATAATTGTAGTAGGGACATTAGGAACGAATGTGGAGGCTTCATTATAGTCTGCAAAGCTGTGCAGAGTACGGGAACTATATAGATACAGCAAATCAGTCATTTTTAATCAACTACCAGTATATGATTGACATTCTGGGTAGAATACACTACTACATTACACTGCTTTCCGTGCTGAAGGCCTCACCTGGTGTGTGTGACAATGTCAGTGAGCGCCCCTCCTTCCAGGAACTCCATGACCACCCACAGCTCGTCTCCCACCAAGTAGCTGTTGTACATCTCCACCACATTTTCATGCTGGTAATCTCGCATTATCACCACCTGCAGAGAACAGGAAATTGTCATCTGATGTTTTACAAACGGCTTGTAAACATTTACCAATCACGGAGCAGCCAGTCTTCATATATTTACTAACCAAAGCTGTTGTGTTGGGAAAACAAATGGTCACAATACACGTAAAATGAACTGCAAATACATAACAAATGTACATATTCAGCTAGATTACTATGAAATGAACTCAAAATATATAAGAAACATACATAGAAGCATTGAGCATACACACATACTTTCATGTTTATTAAAGTGAACCTGGCCTAAAAAGTACAATAGAAGGAAAAACCTTCTGTTCAGTTTCAGATAGAGAGGGGAAGAGTTAGAACCCTTGCCCGGTTTTTTGTTTTGTTTGCCCACTGTGTCCCATTGGGGAGATTTCTCTTCACTTTCTGTCCTAGACATAACAGGAGATGAGAGGAGGTTTCCTCAATGGAAGGCTTCCCCCTCATCTCTTGTTTCAGTGACAGCTCCAAATTTTGGGTTTTTCTTCACTTTAAGCCCTCATTCCCACTAAAAAAGGCCGGCGCGTACAGCTCCGTGCACGGCCGTATCGGGCAGCTCCTGCCTGTGATTAGTACGCAGCCCCTGTCCTTCTCTATGGGAGTACGCGGAATGTATGCCGCCCTACGCTCACCAGCCCTGCACCTCTGTCTGTACTCGTACAGGATCAATCCTGTCTGCGTCCGAGCCAGGAAGCACGCACACATACGGATCTGCACTTGGGGCGAGCGTAGGGCGGCATACGGCCGCGTACTCCCATAGAGGACGGGGGCTGCCTACTAATCACATGCAACACTTGTCGTTCCCGAGAGCTGCCCGATACGGCCGTGCACGCAGCACAAAGCAGTACGTGCCGCCCGATTCCAGTGTGAATGAGTCTAATGGTCACTAGGATGAGTAGAGGGCGAATCTCCCAAGCACGAACACAGGCAGCAATAAAAACCTGACAAGGGATCTAACTCTTCCTTACTTTATCCAAAAACAAAAAAAATTTGGGTTAAAATAAATAATTAGTCCCCGTTAACACCTAGGCGTTCTGTCACATAAATGTAAGCACAACGAAATGCTCAAGACAAGGAATCCCATGTCTATGGCCCCTGTTCACACCTGAGCGTTTTGCTGCACAAAGTTTCCTATTGAAGTCTATGGGACCGAAAAGCAGCTCATGTACTTTTTCCCAGCAACAGGCCTTTTTCTGCTGATGACAAAATCCTCCGCTATGCACAGAGGACACAGAAGTAAGGGATTCCTTGTCTTGAGCGTTTTGTCCTGCTTATATCTGTAAAAAATAAGTCAAGGCAACTGGACTGGCTGTATTTTTCTTGAAGACGTTTCACTGGACATCCGACCAGCTTTCTCAATTCAGAATGACTTGTACAAAAATTATCTGGGAATAAATATGGTGAATGTTGTTCCAATCCACATAATCAGTTAGTCGCAACTAGGTGTTGATTGCATTTGCATAATTGGAGTTAGGAGGTGTTAATTAGTGATGGGCTCGGGCGTGTTCGCAAGCGCCTCGTGCCGAGCTCCCCAGGAAGCAGTCAGCGCGCAGGGCCAATCACAGGTACTGAGGCATGTTCACGGTCCGCAGCTGCAGAGATCGGGAAATGTCTCAGTGCCTGTGATTGGCCCTTCGCGCTGACAGCTTCCAGGCACGAGGCGCTTCAGAACACGCCCGAGCCCATCACTAGTGTTAATAACCTGCCCAGAGAGAGGAGATACAACAGCATTGTCCTGTTTAGCTTTGAGCAACAAAACGTCTAGGTGTGAACAGAGCCGGCCTGCAAATACCTTGCGATACCTTTAAGTATCTGTGATAGTATTCCTATCAGTTTTTGTTCCCCTGTCCAGTCCCTTGTATGCTAGGTCCAGGCTGCACACAGCAAGTCAAGAACAAGCCCAACCTCTGCCATTGGACTGTCAAAGCTTACCAAACGTAGGTAAGAAAAGGAGATTAAGCAATGATGCTGCCTACTTGTGCTACAACTTGACATTGCAGTTCTATACTAAAACCCCAGGTGTCATTGTAACACCGAAATCATCAATAGAACTCTAACATCCTTATACAAAAGTAATCATTGATATCAATGTGTCAAATCTAAAATGTACAATGCTTACAGACAACCGCTCTGATACAATGCTTCCTTTCATGCACCACTAACTTGTGCTAGATCAGAAAATTATTATTATTATACAGGATTTATATAGCGCCAACATTTTGTGCAGCGCTTTACAATATAAGGAAGACATTACAATGACAAGACAATTCAAGACAAGATGGTAAGGAGGGCCCTGCCCCTGAGGGCTTACAATCTAAAATGTACACAATTCCTCACCAAAGGAAATAGAAAAACTTCACAAAGTTTTGGGCCTTTGGCATTAATGACGCCTGCCCTGCTCTGTGCCTTGTGGACTCAAATTAACACTTGTACACAATGAAGTCTAAAGCTGGCCTTCCCCCTATAGATGATCTGCAGACTTTCTATGGTCAGATGGAAAAAGTGCAACAGATTCCTCCATCTACGCTAAACTGTGTGTATGGAGGAATCTCACGCTGGGCCAAGCTTCGGTATCTTACTAGTCGACCCCGCTGGCTCTCAAATACCTGAACAATGCCTGCATCCAATCAGATTGTTCAGGTATTTTGACAGCCAGCGGGGCTGACTAGTAAGATACCGAAGCTTGGCCCAGCGGGAGATTCCTCCATACACACAGTTTAGCGTAGATGGAGGAATCTGTTGCACTTTTTCCATCTGACCATAGAAAATTTGCAGATAATCTAATCTATAGGGGTATGCAGGGCCAGATATCCCACAAGGCCAACCAAGGCCCGGCCTCGGGGCAGCATGAGGAACCTGGCCTTTGGGCCAGCAGGGAGAGTAAATCCAGACCAGGGTGTATGGCCAGCTTAATTCAATATTATCTCCACCCTCCAAAGCAAAAAGTGCTCACATTGAAAGCCTGCTGGCTTCTGATCCATCTACACTGGAACCTCTAAAGCTAGCAAATAAAAACATGTTTTTAGAGCTTATGTGCAGTTGCTACATACAGTACGTAGCACATTGTGATGTATAAAAAGCAATCCCATACGTCAAAACACTAGTCACGTATCACATGGGCTTTCTGCATAACTTTACGGAGTGCAGGGGCGCCATTACATATATGGGGAGCGGGCAGTTTCCTATCCTGCCACTACTGCATTCCAGAACACAATCTCTGCTGCCTTCAATGCAATGTGCTATGCTGATGACAGCAAAGCTTCCGCTAAGAGCTGCTGTCAGCCAGGACGAGAGGACCGTGCAGGGGACACGTCAGTCAGGCTGCCTATGGGAGTACATGATGTGTGTGAGCCATGGCGTCTTGTAGTCCCAATCAAGAGCTGAGAGATGAAAACGGACTATGGCATCATGGATCTGCTTCCGTGCTTGATGTGGTCAAAAAAGTGGAAGGGAGAGAGTGGGACTGGCAGGATCACCGGGTATTTGCTGCTCATAATAAAAAACTTAAAGAAATAAAAAGGTAATTGACACGAGTTTATATGGGCAGAGGAATACTTTTACACACTTTCATTCTTAGGCATTACATATACTTCAGTTTTACATTAAGTGGTAACGTGTCCAGAGACTGACCTCATTAAACAGAAGCTCCCTCCTCTGCTGCTTGCGCAGATCCATCTTCTTCACAGCAACAAGTTTCCCAGAACTCCTGATAGTCGCAATACAAACAATCCCCGTTGAGCCCTCCCCGATTTTGATGAAGTTATCCAGATAGGTCCTGGGATCTCCAGGGTCCACCACCATCTGCAAGGCTGCTCTGAACTGCTCGTGTGACACCCGCTGAGGCTCCCTCTGCGGAGATCGAGGCTGTGCAGGTTGCTGCGCCTGCTGCGGTGGGCGAGAGAGCTGTGGGTCAGAGCTGTGCTGGGAGAGGCTGGCCGGAGATGGTTTCTCTGGAGGCTTGGGCTTGGGCTGGCTTGGCTGTGGCCGAGATGAGCCTCTGTTTGCAGGGTTTTTAGGGTCAAGTGGTACAGTGGAACGGGAATCCTGGATCTAAGGAAAGAAGAAAATAGAACAAGACTAATCAAAATTAATACTGAGTACAAAGACTGCAAACTGTGGTCATCAACAGCCACAATCCAACAGATCCTAGAATTCCTGGTATACGTTGGCAGTGCTAGAATCCCTGGTATACGTTGGCAGTCCTAGAATGCCTGGTATACGTGTGCAGTCCTAGAATGCCTGGTATACGTTGGCAGTCCTAGAATGCCTGGTATACGTTGGCAGTGCTAGAATCCCTGGTATACGTTGGCAGTGCTAGAATCCCTGGTATACGTTGGCAGTGCTAGAATCCCTGGTATACGTTGGCAGTGCTAGAATCCCTGGTATACGTTGGCAGTGCTAGAATCCCTGGTATACGTTGGCAGTGCTAGAATCCCTGGTATACGTTGGCAGTATTGACAACTTTTTCAATAATCGATTATAATCGATTATGTCGATTAGTTGTTGCAGCCCTATTTGGCAGTCAGCAAATGTTTTGTGTGTCTGGAGACCTGACCCCTGACAAACACTCCCAGTATTTTGGTATGACCACCAGACAGGCAACACTGCAACTAACAGACATGTAGTCACTGTTCTGTCTCCTTTTTCCACTCGGTTACTTTTTTTGATTTGGCCAGAATTTGAAAGTTAAGAGTTGGGGGAACTTAAAAGAAGAAAACCAGGAATATTAAAGCGCAACCCCCTTGTAGTGGTACTAGCCCCGCACTGCAAGGGTCAAGTCCTCGTTTTGTCTACGGTCTAAAAAAAACAAAGTATACTCACCCAAATCTCGATCCTGCTTGGCTGCTAGACCGGTTTCTGCAGTCTCTCTCCCCCTCCACTCCGGCACTCTAAGGATCTGCGAGTCATCACGTCTAACACAGTCTATTAGAAATGAGGATGCTGAGGGACATTCCACCGCCGGAGCGGAGAGAGGCTACTGGGACCAGTCTAGCAGCCAGGCGGGACCAAGGATGGGTAAGTATATTTTTTGTTTTTTAAACCCTAGACAAAACGAGCACTTAACCCTTGCAGTGCAGGGGTAGTACCCCCACTGCAAGGGTTAGGTTTTATTCTCCCCGGAGTTCTTCTCTAAATGTTAGGAGTTCAGGAAGGGAAGGATTAAAGCAGAAGTAGACCCACCAATTTAACGGTCTCCCAAAATATTGACTTTAAAAGCCTGACTTTCAAGTCCTTGTAATGGCTGATGTCAAAGCTGATCTTATGTGCAGTACCACCTCAGTTCCAATCCTAGTAGAGACCAAGATGGCAGCTTCCTTGGCAAAGGACAGACGGGTGTAATTCCACCTTAAGTGTTAGAGAGGTTTTTTTTATGTAAATTAAACCAAGAACATATTGTGCCCCAGAGATGCCTACATACCAGGGACGTGCAGTCAAGGGAGGCAGGTAAGGCAGAGCCTCACCTAGTATTATGGAGGAAAAAGCTGTTAGCTTCAAGTCTGAAGCTAACAGCTTTTTCTCCATTCACAGCAGCTTCTAGCAGGGAAATCCTCCCCGCTGTGTAACCCGTCATGGACAGAGCGATGCCTGTTAATTACAGGCAGCGCTGCATCTGGCTTTCGACAGCTAAGTTAGGTTGCACAGCAGCTGGCTTTCCTTTTGCTTGTGTAACCTAACATAGTGAGGCCAGAGCTGTCACAGCCTCTACTCTGTGTTAGAGGCGTGAGCTCTCTGGATGATTTGGACCAATGACAAAGCACCATTAGTCCAAGCTGTCCAATCAAACAAAAACCACTGAGGACATAGATCTCGATGCCTCACCAGTGACAAGCAAGTGAGGGACAGGGAGGCTCCTCCCTTCCTCCTCCACACATAGCTCAGTTGCTGGGTTGGGGGCGGGGAGTCGACAGGCTGGGGGCGGAGCTGGCAGGGGGAACGCCACACAAAAGCACGGAAGGTACCGCACGTGACTGCTACATACTGATATACCTATAAAGAGACACTTGATTTTTTTCGGCACACACACACACACACACACACACACACACACACAGAGTTACAGACAATGTTAACACCAAGCTCATAGCACCACTGATGGGATATGAACCCCAGCAAGTCAAAACAACACTGCTACCCACTGAGCCAGAATTCTACCAACTGGTATGATGAGATAAGGGACGTCCTATGCTCACAGTATTCAGTCATAAATAAGTAGGAAAAGACCGATAAGAAAATGGTACAAGGGCTACAATGACCTTCAGAGATGAAAGATGTAGGACAACGCCTTTTTCTCCTCTGGACCATTAAAGGAACCTTGGAAACCAAACAGAATTGTGTACACCACTTTATCTTCACTTTCCAGAGGGACAATAAAGAATAATAGACCGCATGCTGCTCATTAACAAGCGGAGCATGACAACTAGTACTTGGTGTGGTCATGCTGACCCCGTACTATGAATTGTCTTACTTGTTTCTGAATACAGCTCCACCAACAAGAACTGCATTCAGGTCTCACAGCCTTGTACTTATCAGATGTACAGTTGTAATCAAAATTACTCAACCCCCATTGCAAATCAGCTTAATTGGCAAAATGTACAGACTTTCATCTGTTTGTAATGAACAAATCAAATAAAAGCAATTGAAATAAGTCAACGCAACAAATGTTTCAAGTGGTTTCCCCAAATTCAACTGAAAAAGTAACTTCTGCAGTCTCGAAATGATTCCACCCCTTCATGGTAAGCATCTTTAGTACTTAGTAGAGAACCTTTTGCTGTTCTGGCCTGCTGCAAATGAGATGCAAAGTCACACACCAGCTTCTGACAGCGTTCCTGAGGAATCTTAGGCTCCATTCACATAAAGTGTTTCCGTGCAGAAGACCGCACGGTGCGCAAACGCTAAAATCTTCTTTACAGCTGCATGGATTCCGCTCATTTGAACGTGCGGAATCTGCCCCTAAAATCACGCTTTTACTATTTTGCGGGACGCGCGGTGATGTACCGCGTGGCCGACGCAAAAGTCTGAACATTGCACATTAAAGTGCACTGTTTTTTATGTTGAGAGTGGTTCTGCGCGTATTCGTATGGCCGAATATGCACGGAAAACCGCTCCCATATGAGTGGAGCCTTAAAGGAGAACTATGAGGTGAGTGATTTTCACTCAACCTCATAGTTCGAGCCGACCTGTGACAATTAAACTGTCGGGAAGATCGCTCACTTCTCGATCCTGTCCCTGCAGAGAGCCGTGACTGTCACTCACAGATCCCTGCAGGGATTCCCCCCCTACCCACTCCAATCCTCCAGCGCTGACTGGAGGAACGGACGGGGAGGGGGCGGGTACAGCTGGCTCTACCTCTAGATTGACAGCTGGCTCTGCCTATATCACACAGCTGGGTGGATCTCAACAGTAATGTCGGGATCCGTCCCGGCTGCGGAGGTCTCAGTATACCGCGAGCTGTTTGGGTCACGGGAGGATGCTAGTTTATGTCCTCCCGTCCCGGAGGAGAACTATGGGGAAAAACACTTACCCCATAGTTCTCCTTTAACCCATTCCTTATGAGCAATGGCCTCCAGTTCACTAATATTCTTGGGTGCTGCAACTGCCTTCTTCAAATCCAACCAGAGATTTTCTATGGGGTTCATGTCAGGTGACTGTGATGGCCACTGTAGAATCTTCCAGGACTTCTTCTGCAATGTTGCAAGGTCTAAGGAGCCCCAAGCTTCAGCTTCCTCACAGACAGCATGACGCTTTCTCCTAGAATTTGCTAATACTGCAAAAGACCTCCAGCAAGTCTATGTGAAACCCATGAACAAAGCTTGCTGGCGGGTCACATTGCAAGCAGGAGCTGACCTTTTAGGAAAATGCCAACTGCTTGGCTGTCATGCTGGTTTAATGGCTCCAATCCTTTTACAGTCACTGGCTTTTAAGAAGAATGCAGATCTGGCTCTTAGGCCTTGTTCACACCAAATGCAGAGCAGATCTGCATGAGTTTCTGCACACGCAGTGCAGTGGGTTGTGCCGGGTTTTTGATGCGTTCCGGGCCGTTTTTGGTAAAAAATAAAATAAAAATTTAAATGGGCTTTCAGTGCGTTTGCATGCGTTCCAGAGCCGATAAAACAGGGCCTGCTGCAGTTTTTTTTACCTGCTCTGGAATGGAACGCTGCGATGTGAACTGGAGCTAAAAATACCATTGGAATACATTGGACGCAGTTTTGCTCCGGTCTGTAACTGCTCTGCTCCTGGAACGCGCTTGGTGTCATCAAGGCCGTAAGTGGTGCCTGCTTCTAGGTCAGTGAATCAGAGTATAACATCTAAAAATAGTATTCTCAGAAGAAGGTAAGCAATGGCAGGAACCATATTTCTTATTCTCTTTAAAGAGCAACTCTGGGGGAAAAAAAAATGTATGAACCCTTGCAGTGGGGCTAGCTCCTGGGGCAGGGACAGCATGCAAGCTGTTGAGAGTTGTAGGAGCAGAATAAAGACTTTATGGTGAAATCCATGGCATGCAGCACTTCTTTTTGAGTGTATAGCGTTATGTGGTGCATGGACGGGCTCCTAAACAAGCACCCATAGCACACCCATCCGGCGGGAGATCAGATGGTGTGCAACATTGATATATCCTGTTCATTGTCCGTCATATTATACATGCTCGTTGTGTTCCATATGATCATGACGGCTTTTCATACAAAGATTTATGTGATGCTACATTCCCTCTAGATCAGAGAATGCAATTAGCACCCTTGCTAAAGGACTGCTGAGATAAAATCAATTAATAAGCTGGGTAGTCAAAGCTTCAATTATCAGGGTGTTTTTCTTAAAGCAGAACTAAACCCACAATACAATCTGACCCACCGTGCCTCCTCTTACTGCTCCCTATGCAAAGGTGCCATGAAGCCCCCTGTCATACTTACCTGGTGGGAGGGCTGAACACCCACAGTGTAAAAGCCACCTGATACTTCTGGGTCCAAGCCACAGCCAGAGCTGGATCTGTGGCACCTAGAGGCATCAACTGGCTAGCAGGCATAAGGTGGCTCTTTCCTACACAGATACTGCCTCTGGCTTACACCCACAATCACTGGGCAAGAGGCACACGGTTTGTGTATGAAGGGAGCCGAGTCCTGCCAACAAATGTGTATTTTAAGGGTCTTAATGGGTAGAAAGCAAATAGGTTGGAGAAAGTCAAACTGTATTTTATGTCTATTTCTGCTTTACGTACTGCCCATACTGCAATACAACAATCAGATTCACATTTGGAATAGAAGGAAACATCAAATCTGAATCCTAGTTGTGGGAAAACACCAAAGTTCTTGTGAAAGTCATTGTGATAAAGAGGCCGTTCAATGTTTACAGTTCCCTATGAAATGGTCTGATATCAGCAAGCAATGTCAACCTTTCCAAACATCACTTGCAATCAATTTGACTAGACTGATAGAACTGCACTAAGTGAGGAGCAATGAAGTGTCATCCACTAAAGCTGGCCATGTCCTGGTCCAAATCCAAGCAGTGTGTGGTCCCCTTGGAAAACCAACAGCAGCAGCACACGCGTTGCTTTCAGACTACAACAGACCGGCGGAGGAGATTCCCCCATCCACACTGTTTGGTTTGGATGGAGGAATCTGTAAGATTTTTTTTTTTCCTTCAGCCCATGGGCTGAATGTAAAGAAATCTTCCGGTGTATGGCCAGCTCAAGCAGTCATTTATGGTTATATGAAACCAGCAAAAGTGGCGGTCCTCACTCACATGTATAAGTTTAAAAATAAAACAAAAAGACATATTTAATGTTACTAAGTAGGAATGCACAGATAGCAGTACTAGTATTGGTATCGGTGCCGATATTGAGTATTTGGGCGAGTACCCGTACTCACCCAAAGGCTCCGACACTTGGCTCCGATACCAAAACTTCCAGCCAGAGGGAGATCTCCCTCTGACTGGCAGTGCTGAGAGAGCATGCAGCGGGCTTCCTTTCCAATCAGGAAGGCAGGGGGTGAGTTATGACCCGCCTCCCTGATTGGCTAGGAAGCCAGGTTCATTTGTTGGTAGGCAGCAGCCTGGCTACCTAACCAATCAGGAAGCCGGGTGGCACATCATGACTCACCTTCCGGGTTCCTGATTGGTCAGAAAGCCACACTGCCTAACAAGTGAAGCTGGCTTCCTAGCCAATCAGGAAGTAGGGAGGCGGGTCATGACGTGCCGCCCGGTTCCACATTGGTCAGGAAGCCAGGCAAGGGAAGCTGGTGTTCTTTTGATAGAACATGGGCATCCCAGGCAATCAGGAAGCCGGGCAAAGGGTCATGATCCGCCGCACGACTTCCTGATTGAGGCACGCAGCACCAGTATCGTTACTCGGTATTGGCGAGTACTGCAAAAAAATATCAGTACTCATACTCAATACCGAAAAAACAGCATCGGTGCATCCCCGCTGATAAGATTTGACTGATTTTTAGAGCATATGCTCATGTATGAGAAAAAACAAACATTCTGTAAAACAGATTACTGATACATATGCTACTTATATAGTATTTAAAGCTAAGTTCCAGGCACATAAAAGATCAAATGAATGCAGCTCTGAATTTAGTAATAGATCAATAAATGTATATTTTGAATGCAACTAATTACATTAATTTGATTGGTATCAGTCTAATGCAACCTCCTATATAGCAATGGAATGGGATAGGGAGGGGCAGAACAAGGAGCCAATTGTGTCTGCTGTATGCAAAGGAATTGACAAGGAACGTGGCAATTGGAGGAGAAAGCAGAGTAGGGAGGTGACCTTATCAGTTTCCTTCTGCTCGTTAACAGCTCAAACAGCAGGCGAAGGACTGCTGTTTGAGCTTTTAATGGACACCATTGTATACCTTTTACAGTCACAAATAAGGTGGCGTCATCTGCCTGGCTGTTCTGTGGGATGGGGCTGTTTAAATCTCAGAACTGGATAGAAAGAAAAACAAATCCTCTGACAGGTAAAGCATATATGTTTTGTATCTGTGCACTAAGCTGTTTGCTCGGACTTCAGCATTAAAAGGTTACCTGTTGACCTTTTTAAGCTCCAGCCTGCTCCACCAACAAGCCAGCCTACTATTTAGCACCTCAGTGACCGTAAAGGGGCACGCTTGTTTTAACAGAGGTAGGCTGTTCCAGAGGTGGGCCGAGTCATTAGTAAGCATGTGCCCAGGATCACAGTCTTCTGACTAATAAAGGTAACAGCAGCTTACTGTAGTGACCTCTCTCTTGAGTTACCCTATTCTTCCCAAAACTAGTAGGGCAACGTTTTAGCTATAGATACAGTTTCCATGGAAACTAGAATATTTCTGGATAGTTTTATATAAGGTACAGTTAAACTTCCTTATCACCATAACCAGACATGGTACCCAGATCTTCTGAGCAAATAGAAATAGCTAGAAATATAACTGAACAAACTGAAATAGCAAATAACCAAAATAAATGATGCATGCATTGTAACCCAGAGTATATGTCCAGGGTGGCAGGTTTAGGGATTTATGTACACCCTCCGAAAATCAAACTCACTTACCTGCTGTGTTGACCTGTTCGGGTCAGTGTCTGCACGTGGATAAGTGTTAAAAGGCCTTGCGGCCTGCTGTGTTGGCTTCCCCGCTCCCTCTGCAGATTGGTTATTTGGGGTATGCATATTAGGCCCCGAGAGTGGTCTTTTGTCCCTAGGTGACTGCGGGCTACCCTGCCCTCCAGTGTAAGACGATTTCGGCCTTCTTTCTTCTTTTTCTCTCCTGACCACTCTATCCGCTGGTTCACTGTAGTCACCGTCAGTCGTTAGGTGGCGATCTCGCTTCCCCTCCATCCGCTCATTATGGCGGACAGATCTGTTCTCTGAAGGTTTAGGATAGTCAGGTGGTGGAGGCCTGTGTTTGCCGCTTGGTTCCTGTCCCCGAGGTTGCTGGGGAGCAGGTTTCTGTTCTTCCCTTGGCCTATCCCTTCCGTGGTCTGTCCTGCTCCTATCTGGCATTCTTCCTCCATCATCACGTGGGTGTCTCGTGCGTCCATCACCCACACCATTTTGCACCGGGGTGCGCTGTTCTCTAGGGGGGCAAGGAGGAGACTCTCTGCGCAAGGAGTTCGAGCGGCACACTGACATCATTTCAAATTCATCCAGCAGCCATGCCAAGGAGCCATCCTGGGACAGCTTGCTCCCACGTACGATCGTCTGGAGGCGAGAAAAATTACAGGTCAGAGACATCATAAAAAGTATAAATAAGTGTCTCAAATAAGAACTGACCACAAAGTGATACAAAAAAATGGCACTTCCCAGAGAACAACAATCACCAGAAAAAAAAAAATGCATCGAACTTTTATACATACTTGCTTAAAAGATCCATATGTAAGCGCTAATAGGAAACTTTACAGACATGTAAATGGACTAAAATTCGCATTGAAACATCGATATTGAACACTTGCTGTACAGCCTAGCGATGTATGTTAAAATGGACCTACTGAGCGATCAATGACAGATCCCCACTAACCTGAACTTCCTGTCCCATCCTATATAAAAAGATAGGGGGAGCAGATATATTTTATTTAGAAATCACTGCTCTGATCTCCGGTTGGTGTTAGTAACATGACCAAATGAGGAGGCATTTGTCACATGTTTGGTGAATATTGTTTGTTGCGCTAGGTACTGTGTACTAATCTCACAAAGAAAGAATTGTGAACAACATCCTGTGATCTACTCCTTAAATTAAACAATATGAGTTACGCTATTATGTGAATGTGCACAAATATAACGAATCTCCAAATAGCTTCAGATTACTGCTGTTCACTGCGCAGCATAATGTCTAAATAATTCTTAAACCGGTGATAAACCTCCACATCTAAATATCAACAAACATAATTAAAAGATATATCCTGATAAGTGCAACCCCGACTATAGGCTGAAGTATCCCTCTAAAACATGCGTGAACCAAGCGACAACGGTGGATATAACAGAGCAGTCCTATATCTCTATCCCAGCAATCGATAGCAAGCCACGGGTGATATATTTACTTCCCTTGTCTCCAGATCACACGATGTTATTCACAATTCTTTCTTTGTGAGATTAGTACACAGTACCTAGCGCAACAAACGATATTCACCAAACATACACGGGTTCAACACCTTATATTGTTGCGGCTGGTCCGCCATTATCAACTACTCCTAGTGCAGTGATTTTTTGTTTTTAATTTGTCACATGATCTCTGCTTATAGAAAACCTAAGAGTCTAGAAATCTAGAAGCTGCAATTACTTGTTTTTAAACGTTTTGGGCTCCAAGGCTGCACTTGGGGAATGCTTCAATTAGGGATGCACCAATACCGGTATTTCGGTATCAAGTACGAGTACCGATATCTTTTTTCCGGTACTCGCCGATACCGAGTACCGGAAGTCTTATTCAGGAAGCCAGGCGGCATGTAATGACTATCCACCTGGCTTCCTGTTTAGCAGGCAAGCCGTCTCCATGCTTCTTGTCACTAGGAGACAAGAAAAGCATGGAGACGGCTTTCTGGCCATTCAGGAAGCCGAGCGCTGGGTAATGAGGCGGCGCCCAGCTTCCTGATTTGCCTGGAAGCCGGCTCTATGCTCCCTTGTCATGAGGTGACGAGGGAGCATGAAGCCGGCTTCCCGACCAATCAGAAAGCCGGGTGTCGCGTCATTACACGGAGCCTGGCTTCCTGATTGGCCAGCTTCCGACCAATTGGGAAGCCGGGCGGTGTGTAAAGACTCGCCACCAAAGACTTAGCAGGGTCCCCATGCGTCTCGTCACTAGGTGACGAGGGAGCATGAAGCCGGCTTCCCGGCCAATCAGGAAGCCGGGCAGCGTGTAATGACGCGCTGCCTGGCTTCCTGATACTGGAAGTATCGGGCTAGGCATCGGAATATTTGGGCGAGTACGAGTACTCACCTAAATAATCGGCATCAATACCAATACTAGTATCGGTGCATCCCTAGCTTAAATTGTCTAGCAGGTCAGTAAATTGGAACAAGCATGCAGCCAGTAAAGACTGTTAAATCTGAGCTCTTGTCTCAGGCATAACTATAAGATGAGGACAGGGTGGGCTCTGCTGAACATCAGTCCCCTAAACACATTATATCTAGATCAAATGACCAATGCCTCAGCATTTGGTCACATCACTGACACCAGAAGTAAATGACTGCAGCAGGTCACTTTAATTGCGGTTTTAGACAAGCTGCTATTGGCCCGCATTGTGACAGATGACAAAGACTGGCAGACAATGATGGTTAGACAACAGTGAGGCAATGACTGACATATGTGGGATGGCACCTCTCTGCGATCATACACCAACCCTACCACTTCTCTACAGTCAGTCAATAAGGCTTTCAAAATTAAGTCATTATTGTTTGCATGTAAATATCAGAAGCAGCGCATTGCTTTTATATCTCCTGCCAATGTCATCATAAATACATGCTTTTAGTCAGGAGTGGGCAAATTATTATGAAATTCAGGAACCAGTCTGTTCAATTTAGGAGCCAGATGCACCAACAACTAGAGATGACCACAAAAGTTGGGCGCCAGCTGTAATTTTTAAGGAGCAATGGCTACCTGGCTCCTGGGATATGTCCAGCCCTTTTTTTTACTGGTACAATCTCCAGGGTCACCCCTCAGTATGTACACACCTTTTGTTGACCACGGTTGATAGCTGTGATACATGCCGGGTCCACCAGTGGCTTGGGTCTTTTGGCGGACTCCTCGATCAGACTCTGCCATTGTCGTGGAAGCCCGGTGAATTTCTGTTCCTGCTCGTCAAAACCAGTGTGTACACGATGCTCGAAATTAGAGGGGGCTGAGATCTCGATACGCTTCTTCTTCTTAGCAAACATGGTGACTAGCTGACCTGGTGGGGAAATGGAAAGATGAAAGCTTAGAAAAAGAAAATGTACAAACACAACATGGGCAATACATTAATCATATGGTCAGGGAACCCTACCACAGGGGGACAACATGGGCAATACATTAATAATATGGTCAGGGAACCCCACTACTAGGAACAACATTATAATAATAATGATAATACATTATAAACATAATACATTAATAATATGGACAGGGAACCCTACCACAGGGAACATGGGCAATACATTAATAATATGGTCAGGGAACCCCACTACTAGGAACAACATTATAATAATAATGATAATACATTATAAACATAATACATTAATAATATGGACAGGGAACCCCACTACAGGGAACATGGGCAATACATTAATAATATGGACAGGGAACCCTACCACAGGGAACATGGGCAATACATTAATAATATGGACAGGGAACCCCACTACAAGGAACATGGGCAATACATTAATATGGTCAGAGAACCCCACTACAGGGAACATGGGCAATACATTAATAATATGGTCAGAGAACCCCACTACAGGGAACAACATGGGCAATACATTAATAATATGGACAGGGAACAACATGGGCAATACATTAATAATATGGTCAGGGAATTCTACTATAGGAGACATTAACATGATAAATAAGACTTCGGCTGTAGGCCTGGTTCACACCTGAGTGTTTTTCCGTACGCAAAACACAAAAGTCAATGCATTCTAATGGGGCTCAGTCACACCTGTGCGTTTGCAAGCACGGACACAAATGTGTACAAATACTACATGCATGGTTTTATGGGCGTCTATTAAAATGTGCGCGTTTCTGTCTGCACGTACGAACGTGCAAAGAAACGCACTGGATTGCAAACGCTCAGGTGTGAAAAGAGCCTTATAGTGTTCTCCTATCCCACTGCTATAGGCCCCCATAACACATTACAGAACAATGATGGTGCCCACGGTGCTGCCAGTTTAGGAAAGCTCAGTGTGTTCAGCAGCGGGGAAACATTTGCGCAGCTAATAATGATCTAAGCAGGCATAATTATTTAGAAGGGAACAAAAGCCAGAATGCCTGCAAACAAGCCTGAACACAGAATCTTGGCACAGTATGCTGATCGCAAGGCTACACATGTGATTATGGGATACATATTTAACCAGTTCTTTTACAGAACTACACTAACCCCTCCGTTCATCTGGAGTGAGCTCATAACATACCCAATGCCATTTCTGAAAATCAGTGACCCATTTTGACTGCATGGGGTCCCTATAAACTGTATGGGGCCAATCCAAGTCTTGTACAGATCACAGCTGTCAATGAAGAGCACAGACATAGAAGAGCTCCAACTGACTTCCAATGAACTTAGGCAGAGACAACACATTAGTCTGGATTCTTGTCTACCAGATCAGCTATTACCGTCATGTCCGGAGCCTTTCCAGCTTCAGAAACAGAGAGCAAACAATCTATGGAGAGCTAACAGGCGGCTCTACTTGAAGCTACAGGACCAGAGGTCATCTTTAAAGTACATTAGAGGACACTTGCCATGGATAAAATTAATTTGGCTGCTTTTGCTGACCTCCTAGTTCTAGTCATCTGGCTACCATGTTGCTCCTCTAGCGTCAACAATCAACTCTGCATTTACTAGGGTCCCACGGTGCCCAACCGCGCATTCTGGTGCAGGAGGTGTGTCACATTGCCATTCATTTGAATGGCACCTCAAACGCACCCCCCACCCACAGTTTGATCGCCCGCACCGGAACGCACAGTACCACAATGCCGTGCGTTCCAGTGCGGTGCGACTTGGGTCACGACTTCATCACCAAAAACCAATGTGGGTCGTGAGGTTACACAGGCAGAGAACCTCTGCTGTATATAAACCAAAAAAAAGGAACAAACAACATTTTCCCGTTACAAATAATTTTAGTCACATAGTCAGCGCCTAAATCTGCACCTGTATGACTTTGGAAAACATGACCAGAATAAAAAAAAACAACACATTGATTTATGTAATCCGAGCGCTTGCGGTCACTTCCCTGTAATATACTTAGTAATGCGGCTGGAAGGCAAATACATCACAAGGAACTGAAGGCAGAACTCCCCCTTTGAACATTCTATAAGCAGCTCCTCGGGGCCCTTACCGAAAGCAGAGGGACTTTCAGAGTCTGTATTAGCGGAAGTGTGTCTCTTATTGACTGAAACTTGGCGAGGAGAAACTTCTGTCCTGTCCTTAAAGTGAACCTGTGCTCCTATTAAAGAGACCCTGTCACCAGATTCTTCAAAGAATATTACAAGTGCATTTTACAAGATAATTCCCCCTTTTCCAAAAGTAAATAAATAAAACGCACACTATCATAAACGAAAAAAATTTCATTTATTGTTTTTTTTGCATAGAAGCCAATAAAGCATTGCGACTAGGACTGCAACTAATGATTATTTTCATAATCGATTATTTGCCCGATTATGTTTTCGATTAATCGGATAAAAAATTTATAAATAAATTTCCACCCTTAATTTAAAATACACATAAGGAGTGTTACAAACATAAAGTTTACTTCAGAATAATACTGCAAGCACAATTTTTTGCGCCCTGCACTGGAACGCACAGCAATGTGGTACCGTGCGTTCCAGTGCGGGCGACGCGTTTGGGGTGCCATTGATGAATGGCACTGCAACGCTCCTCCCACAGCAGAAATTGTCAGGCCAAAACAGAATATGACTTTTTCCCCACCTTTCATAATATATATTTAAAATAATTGTATTGTAAGCACATGGCGCAGCCCGGGAATGACAGCTGCCAGTGGCAAGATTCTGCAGACAGCAGCTGAATTTAAATACAGCAGGTAGTGGGCGGGTGCAATAGCCAGCCTGCTATTGGCCATTTCAAACTGCAATAGCAGGCTGGCTATTGCACTCACCCACAGCTTGCTGTGCCCTCCTCCCAGCATAGAGGAGAGAGCAAGGGGATCCAACCAACTAATCGATGAGAATAGTCGACAACTATTCTCATGATGGATTAGATGGTCGCAGTCCTAATTGCAACCACGAACAGTGGATCACAGATGGAATACTCCGGCTTCTGCAGACTCTTCCTCCCATCATTGTCCGTACCGAGGTATAGACATGCAGTAACAGGGACAGGAGGAAGTGTCAATGGACTACAAGTGCGGTGACCTCGCTACACTTACAGGTGAAACTCGAATAATTAGAATATCGTGCAAAGTTCATTTATTTCACTAATGCAACTTAAAAGGTGAAACTAATATATGAGATAGACTCATTACATGCAAAGCAAGATAATTCAAGCCGTGATTTGTCATAATTGTGATGATTATGGCTTACAGCTCATGAAAACCCCAAGAACCCCAAATCCACAACCTCAAAAAAGTAGATTATTACATGCAATCAATAAAACAAGGATTGTACATAGAACAATATCGGACCTCTGAAAAGTACAAGCATGCATATGTACTCAGTACTTGGTTTGGGCCCCTTTTGCAGCACTTACTGCAATTACTTTTGCACGATATTCTAATTATTCGAGTTTCACCTGTATATTACAGTGAAACTACAAGTCCCTCTGCCACAGTGGCTGAAAGGACTTGTAGTATCACGGCCGTGTCGGCAGAGCAGATTTCAAACACCAGCTGCAGCCTGCGGGGGGAAGAACCCTGTGATTCAGGTACATGGGGGGCAGCAGGAGGGGGGTCTGCGATCTGACCATGTTTCATGCTACACACTTAATATAGGTGTAACATGAAACATGGTCAAAAACGTGAACCTAGCTTTTATGGCGCGGCATATACCTGTTATTTAAAGCCCTGACACGGGAGGAGCTTTGTGATATTTGGCTGTAGTGTATTACAGAAAACTTCATGCCAAATAATCTTTGTGACTGTAGCAAAGTTGCAGTGTTTGCTGGATTGCAATGGCTGATAGTTTGAATTACACTTTAATGCAGCCTTAAGATCTCCTAAAGGACAACTATGGGGTAAGTGTTTCTCCCCATAGTTCTCTTTAGGGTCACGGGAGGACATAAACTAACCTCCTCCTGTGACCCAAAGCTCAGTATATTGCGGCAATACTGACAGCGTCACAGCCGGGACGGACCCAGGCAATACTGTCGAGATCCACCCAACTGCGTGAGCGACAGCGGGCTCTGCCTATCTAAAGGCAGAGCCAGCTGTGCCCGCCCCCTATCCCGTCCGTTCCTCCACTCAGCGCTGGAGGATCGGAGAGGGGAGGGAATACCGGCGGGGAACGGTGACTGACAGTCACCGCTCACTGCAGGGAGATGATCGGGAAGTGAGCGAGGGATGGTATGTGTTCGCTCACTTCCCGATCTATAGAGCCGACCTGTGACCGCTTCTTTGTCACAGGTCGGCTCTACCTATGAGGATGAGTGGAAAGCACTCACCTCACAGTTCTCCTTTAACACCTACTAGCTCCTCTGCCTCCCATGCAAAATAGCCATTAGTGCTAACACCACCATTATCTCACGTCCTTGTAAGGTTTGGGATCCTCAGCATTGCCAGGAAGCTGTGGAAAGTGACGTCTCAGGCGCCTACATGACCAGGCCAAAAGCATCTTCTACTTTTAGTTTTTGCTAGATATTTTTTTACATTTGGAGATTTTAGTTATTGAATTTGCATGGGGGAGAAGGGGGCTATTATAGATAGGGGTTAGATATTGTGCAAGGTCCGCTTTAAGCCACGACTCAGATTCATTGAGGGGAATTTATCAAAACCGGAGCAACCAATCAGCGTCTCTCTTCAGTTTGTTCAGATAAGGTTTGAAAATGAGACAGAGAAGCTGATTGGTTGCAGTGCAAATCTGCTCCAGTTTTCATAAATTCCCCTCAATGTATTAAATCGGAAAGCTTGATGATGTCAGAAGCATAATGAGCATGCTTACAGCAGTACATTGGATGATTAGACGTACGATACCAGAGAGGTAAGGTAAAGGTTCCATGCAGGTCGATGTCACTAAATGGAGAAGAAAGAAGTG